AAGCGCTCAGAATCTCTCAGGAGCGCCCAGATGCTCTCAGAAGCTCTCAGAAGCTCACAGAAACTCTCAAGGGTTCTCCGAGGTTCTCCGAAGTTTTCGTAGTCCCCAGAGGCTCTCAGAATCTCTCAGAATCCATCAGAATCCCTCCTGATCTCTCCGGATCTCTGCGGATCTTTCAGAATCTCTCCGAATCTCTCCCGATCTCTCCGAATAACTCAGAATCTCTCAGAATCTGTCAGGATCTCTCAGAAACTCTCCGAATGTCTCCGAATATCTTCGAATTCGTCCGAATCTCTAGGCATCTCTCAGACTCGCTAGGAATCTCTCAGAATCTCTACGAAACTCTCAGAACCTTTCAGAATCTCTAGGAATCTCAAAGAATATCTAGAAATCTGTCAGAATCTCTCAGCATCTCTACGAATCTCTCAGAATCTCTCAGAAACACTCAGCATCTCTCGGAACTTCTGGAGAATCTTTCAGAATCTCGCAGGTTCTCTCCGAATATATCCGAACCTTTCCGAATCGTCAGAATTTCTCAGCATCGCTCAGAGACTTTCAGAATCTCTCAGAATCTCGCAGAACCGCTCAGAATCTCTCAGAAACTCTCGAAAGCTCGCAGAAGCTTTCAGAAGCTCTCAGAAGCAGCTCTCAGAAGCTCTCAGATGTTCTGGGCTGTCAGAGGCTCTCAGAGGTTCTCAGAGGCTCTCAAAAGCTCTCAGAGGTTCTCTGAGGTCTCAGGAGCACTCAGAAGCTCTCAGAGTTTCTCAGAGGCTCCCAAAGGCTCTCAGAATCTAGGAGAATATCTCAGGATCTCTTAGTCCGACCGGGGAAGAACCCAGTTTACCGGGAAATACCCCAGTTTACAAGGAACAAAAATTGTTTCGCCCCCCCTCTCCCCCGGAACCAGGCGCAAAGTGATTCCATTTGAAGGCCGCACAATTTGAATCAACTTATGAGTTTGTGCAAAAAGGTTCTCATGTGTTTCCCACACAATGGGAACCAGTTCGTAGCACCCCACAAAGAGTTTCCATTGGCTAACCGCACACTGAATTGAAATCGGGTCGCAATCCTGCACAAAAGAATTGCAAGAGGAATCGACTTGAAAGTCTGTACAAAGGGATTCCCATTGCCTTCTACACAAGAACAATAATCTTGCAAAATCCCCCCAACGAGATTATGTTTGAAAGCCGCGCAATGGTGATCAAGTTGCCAACCCCGCACAAGAGGGTTCTGTTCGTATGCCGCTCATCCATTGGCCAACTCCCATGGGAAGAGTCAAAGTGTGGGACGCGATGGATTCCTCGGCGACGCACTGTTTTCTGGGCCAGCGTCGCCGCAAGCGCGCGACAAGCAACAGCCACTGAGGATGCTACGGCAGGGAATGCCTGGGTGCTCTTGAGGGTCTTTCTTAGAAGGAGCCACAACAATGTCGAATGTCTAGAGGGTTCAAGACAGAAGGCTCCTAGAATGATCACGGCGGCTCCCAAGGATTGTAGAATGCTCTTGCTGCAGTCAGCCAGGAAGCCTCAAAACTGCCTCCAAGAGGCACCCGAGAAGCCTCCCACGATACCCCAACGATCATCATCACCATCGCCACCGTGCGCATCGTCATCATCATCGTGATCGTCATCGCCATCGTCATCGTCATCATCGCCATCGCCATCGCCATCGTCGTCAACATCATCATTGTTATCATGTGGTTCATCCCTCGCGAGTACCGTCTCCAGTGCCCCCTCGAACGAGAGCCGCCGATCAGGCTAAAAAAACACAGTGGAATGTCCTGCCACAGGCAGCGAAATTATAAACAGGCGGTCCGAAAGAGAAGTAGCAACATTGAAAGTATTAAAACTCATATGGAACAACAACCGCGAGGAAGATGAATCACACGAACGGCTCTTAGCATACATATATACACATATGTGTAGATGTGTATATATATATATTCCCTCGTGCAAGCTCTTGAACATTCCCCGTGGCTCCGTCCTTTCCTCTTTGCCATCCACCGAATACCACAAATCCTGGTCCAACTTCGCGCTTCGTCATCATACAACTCGCCGTTTTCTTCAGCGTCGTCGCCTGATCTCTTTGTGATTGACGCCTTGGTGTATTCGTTCAGGGTCAACCTCCCGGTCATAATTGGTATGAGGTCGTCCTTTTCGTCATGGGGTAACGCCCCATCCATGACTTCGAGCTTGTTGCTCAAATGTTTCAGGGCTTCCCGGTAACAGAACTTCATTTGGGCGAGCGCGTTCAGCGACTTCTCGTTCCACTCCCTGCAGTTGCTCCAATCACCCAAGGATATCGACTGTTCTTCGCAATGCATGTTGCGGCTGAGGGCTGAGATCAAAAAAGGCGCTCATCTTGTAGCTCACCTGTAACATCGTGAACGCCTCATCCTCGTCGACCGTCCTGGTGCCCAGGGTGGCACTGCGTTCGAAGAACAAGAATGCGAGAGCGGTGGTTGCATAACTGAAGGATCCGTAGCAAGCGCTGAACAATTCCGCAAACCAGTTCGTGCCCAGGTTGTACCAGGCCTCCCGGACATCAGGCAACGACACATCGAACCCGGGGCCGGCTATGCCAGAGTTCGGTGTAGCCGCTGCGGCTGCAGCCGCGGCCATCCCACGGAGACGAGTGCTTCGCGGGATGAGCCACGCGCACTGGAACCCGTGGGGCGAACCACGAGCTTTGTGGATGACATGGCAATGGACACTCTAACAATCCTAAAAATGTGTTTGAAATGTTTGAAATTAGCCTGGCGAAGGACCCAACCATATGCAGCTGCGAGTACCGCACGGATATGAGACGAAGGAGGGGGCACGCAAACTAGGCCCCTCTTCTCATAGGCACCGCGCCACTGGGGCCTTCGGTGGAGCTCCCTATGGGACCACGAAACGTGTGAAGGGTGTGCCAAAATGGGTGGTGGGGAGGCATGCGGACCCTGCCACTGGGGCCTTCGGTGGAGCTCCCTATGGGGCCACGAAACGTGTGAGGGGTGTGCCGAAATGGGTGGTGGGGAGGCATGCGAACGCAGCCACTGGGGCCTTCGGTGGAGCTCCCTATGGGGCCACGAAACGTGTGAGGGGTGTGCCGAAATGGGTGGTGGGGAGCCACTGGGGCCTTCGGTGGAGCTCCCTATGGGGCCACGAAACGTATGAGGGGTGTGCCGAAATGGGTGGTGGGGACGCATGCGAACGCAACCACTGGGGCCCCTTCGGTGGAGCTCCCTATGGGGCCACGAAACGTGTGAGGGGTGGGCCGAAATGGGCGAGGGGCGGCATGCCAACTCTGCCACTGGGGCCTTCGGTGGAGCTCATTATGGGGCCACGAAACGTGTCAAGGGTGTGTCGACATGGGTGGCGCGGACGCATGCGAACCCTGCCACTGGGGCCGTCGGTGGAACTCCCAATGGGGCCACGAAACGTGTGAGGGGTGTGCAAAAGTGGGTGGGGGCGGCATGCGAACCCTGCCACGGGGGCCTTCGGTAGAGCACCCTATGGGGCCACGAAATGCGTGAGGGGTGTGCCAAAGTGGGGTGGGGGCGGCATGCGAACCCTGCCACTGGGGCCGTCGGTGGAGCTCCCTATGGGGCCACGAAACGTGTGAGGGGTGTGCCAAAGTGAGATGGGGGCGGCATGCGAACCCTGCCACTGGGGCCTTCGGTGGAGCTCCCTATGAGGCCACGAAACGTGTGAGGGGTGTGCCAAAGTGGGGCGGGGGCGGCATGCGAACCCTGCCACTGGGGCCTTCGGTGGAGCTACCTATGGGGCCACGAAACGCGTGAGGGGTGTGCCAAAGTGAGGTGGGGGCGGCATGCGAACCCTGCCACTGGGGCCTTCGGTGGAGCTACCTATGGGGCCACGAAATGCGTGAGGGGTGTGCCAAAGTGGGGTGGGGGCGGCATGCGAACCCTGCCACTGGGGCCGTCGGTGGAGCTCCCTGTGGGGCCACGAAACGTGTGAGGGGTGTGCCAAAGTGAGGTGGGGGCGGCATGCGAACCCTGCCACTGGGGCCTTCGGTGGAGCTACCTATGGGGCCACGAAACGTGTGAGGGGTGTGCCAAAGTGGGGTGGGGGCGGCATGCGAACCCTGCCACTGGGGCCTTCGGTGGAGCTACCTATGGGGCCACGAAACGTGTGAGGGGTGTGCCAAAGTGGGGTGGGGGCGGCATGCGAACCCTGCCACTGGGGCCTTCGGTGGAGCTCCCTATGGGGCCACGAAACGTGTGAGGGGTGTGCGGAAATGGGAACTAATGGCGATGGCGATGATGATGATGATGATGATGATGATGATGACGATGATGATGCTGGTGGTGATGACGATGATGATGCTGGTGGTGATGATGACAGGATGGTTGGGAACTAATGGCGATGGCGATGATGATGACGATGATGATGCTGGTGGTGATGATGACGAGGATGAGGATGAGGATGATGATGATGATGATGATGATGATGATGATGATGATGAAGATGAGGATGATGATGATGATGACGATGAGTATGATGACGGCGATGGGAGGAGGGAGGAGGGGGGAGAGGAGGAGGAGGAGAGGAGAGGAGAGGAGAGGAGAGGCGGGGCGCTGTCTCTTCAAAACGAGGACCCAACACCACAGGATGGTTGGGAAAAAGATATAAGCATGTTTCACACATGCTTTTACCTGTGTAAGACATGTTTTAAACATGTGTGAGACATCTGGGAATCACTTGGCAACCCCGCTGCCATGACAATTTGCTTGGTACCCTCCTCCCCGGAGGGAACCAGCACTTGCGCCAAACGCCGGCGGGCGTCGGGCACGACACTGTCGCGAAGCCCCTCGTGCCACACAGGGTACAAGAGCGAGGAATAAGTGCATCCTTCTCACCAGGTCGCGACGCCATGTTCTAACTCCTTCGCCTCTTCCTCCTCCTCCTCCTCCTCCTCCTCCTTCTCCTCCTCCTCCTCCTCCTCCTCATCCTCCTCCTCCTCCTCCTTTTCCTCATCCTCCGCCTCCCCCCAGCCTTGGACCGCAGCCGCACGGGCTCCAGGAGACGCAGCGTCCGCGCGGCCGGCATGTACCCCGCGCGCCCCGCGACCCGGGGAGGAGGAAGGGGGAGAGGAGGGGGGGGCAGGAGGACGGAAGGAGGAGAGGGGAGGGAGGAGGAGAGAGGAAGAAGGAGGAAGGAATAGGAAGGAGGAAGGAATAGGAAGGAGGAATAAGGAAAGAGGAAGAAGGAAGGAGGAGGAGGAGGAGGAGGAGGAGAAGGACCAGGAGGAGGAGGGAGGGGAGGGACAGGAAGAGGAGGAAGGAGGAAGAAATAATGATGAAGGATGAAGAATGAAGGACGGAGGAAAAAGGAGGAAGGAATAGGAAAGAGGAAGGAGGAAGGAAGAAGGAGGAGAAGGAGGAAGGAGGAAGGAGGAAGGAGGAAGGAGGAAGGAGGGAGGAGGAGGAGGATGGGAAGGACGAGGAGGGAGGAGGAGGAGCAAAAGGAAGAGGAGGAGGAGGAAGGAGAGAAGGAGGAGGAGAGGAGGAGAGGAGGGAGGAGGGAAGAGGGAGGGGGAGGGAGGAGGGCGGCGAGGGGAGGAGGAAGGAGGGAGGAGGCTGCGTCAAGCGGGGTGGGGAACGGCGTACCGGAGGTGCCCTGCGATCGCCATAGTGGTCGCGCGAGAGAAGAAGAGAGGAGAGGAGAGGAGAGGAGAGGAGAGGGGAGGAGAGGAGAGGAGAGGAGAGGAGAAGAGAGGAGGACAGGAGAAAAGAGGTGGTGAGAGGGCAGCGCTCCCCCCTTGGGGCAAAGATGGCCGCACCCGCCCGAGAGGTCACGGAGCGACGGCCGCAGCCGCATGAAAGCAGCAGCGGCACAGCACGCGGGGCACTCCTCCGGCGCTGCGGCCGGGAACTTTGGGACAGCGTGTCGTTCCGCCGTGTCTGGCCCACCACGTTTCGGTGCGACACGCTATCCACTTCGCGCCCCCGCCCAGCGCCAACGTCTCGAGCGTTCCCGAGCATGGGCAGAGAGGCTGATGCGCGCGCCGGGAGGGCAGGGAGACGGACGTAAGCAGACTTGCAGATAGCTTCTGCCGTGAGGGTTTGGCCACTGGCCTGCCCCCTCCCCCCTTGTTGCATCGAAGAAACCGAAGGAGGAGGAAGAGGGAGAGGAGGAGGAAAAGGAGGAGGGGGAGGAAAGACTTGATGACATATGACGATGACAGCTATGATGGGGACGATGATGATGATGATGATGATGATGATGGTCACGGTGATGATGATGATGATGATGATGATGATGATGATGATGATGATGATGATGATGATGATGATGATGATGGTCACGGTGATGATGATGATGATGATGATGATGATGATGCTGATGATGCTGATGATGATGATTATGATAGTAGTGCTGATGCTGATGCTGATGGCGGTGATGCTCATTTTGATGATGCTGATAATCATGATGATGGTGAGGAGCAGGAGGAGGAAGAGGAGGCGGAGGAGGACGAGGGAGAAGATGGAGCTGCGGGCGCGCTAAAGAGGATGCGACTCGGCCCTTGGCATGCGAATGGCAGCGTGACAGCCACGCCGCTCCCGGGGCGAGGCGGCTCCGTTCCGAGAAGAATGCGGTCCCGAAAGAAGACACGCAAAAGCCAGGCGAGGGCATGACAAACAAACTGTGGCGCCTCGCACTCGCGGGCGCGACGACGAAGACAACGACGGCGACGGCGACGGCGACGACGGCGACGGCGAACCCTCGGCACGCCCATCCAATTCCAATTGAAGCCATGCGAGAACACCTAAATGCAAGCATTGCTTACGATATACTCATGCACGCACCCAAATGTTGGAACTAAAATATTAACTGTTACTTACAACCTTTACTTATACATCACTAAATGTAAGTACATACATACATAATTCATGGAATAGTAGCTCTGTACAGAATCGTTCACGCATGTGGTATATCACATTACTTTCATGTATGTACATGTATGTGATGGTATATGCATGTGTGTTCACGTTTCGATGTATATCTGTATGCGTGTATATACAAGTATAGTCATGTATAGTTTATATATATATATATATATTCGGGAATGAAAATGTTGTGCCACAATGTTTGTATATAGTATGCGTGTATGCATGTAGTGCTAGTTATGCTTACACAAAATAATAAGATATACGCATGCAAAACACATGGTTATGCATAGTTGTATTACATATGCATATGTGTATATGTGTACATATATACATGTATACATCTAGCCCAAATGATGTACATATGCACATATACATACATTTATATACACAGATACACACTAAGTGCAAATGCCATTATTCGGCGTATAGATTCGCTGGGTTGGTGTTTAATGTTCTGTTCCACAGAGCCGTTCCCAGCGCTCCGCCCCTGAGTAAACAGCGAAGCAGTTGGCGCCACAACGATGCAACGAAACAACAAACAACCGATTGAAACAACGAGATATAACGGCGCTGTGTTGTTATATCACGCTGCGAGGTAAGACTGGCCACGTGCAGAATATATTTTTTACGAGCGCAATTGCCGGATACTGTATGACAAAGCCTGAGACCTGTTCATGTTCTGCTGTAGTACCCAATTGCTCACCCTCTCATGAGAAACCCAATCGGTCCTGCACAGACTAGGCTCCGTGTGGCAGCGTGGTTGAACAAACTTGCACCTTATATATAGTTTCTCGTGATAGGCTAACATGTATTACAGAAGCGGCGACGGCCATGCGGCAGCGCGGCTGGGCGACTCCATCGCACCTCACTGTTACACCCGCCCGCTTACTACTACGACGCCCTTGTGTTCTGTTATCCAGCCCCCCGAGGTAAACAATGTGTTTGCTAGCCCAGGATATCAAAATTCATGGACCAGGCAAACACGCATGTGTTTGAAATTCGTGCGCATTTGTCTGATCCCTGGTATATGGGATCCGCTTGGGCCCAGGATCTCCAAATCCTGGGGTCAGGCATGTTTGTTTGCCCCCCTGTTTCCATGTATATCTTAAAAACGAGCGTTTGCTGGTTTGCCCGATCCCTGGCTCCTGGGAGTCAGTTGAGCCCAGGACCTGGGCAACTAGGAACCAGGCGGAATAACGAACTTGTGTCAGACATTTCGATGGTTTGAAACTGTTGCTATTTGGCCTCGTCCCTGGCTCCTGGCATCAAATTGGGCCCAGGATCACAAAATGCATGGAGCAGTCAACATAGCCTTAACAAACAAACAACAACTGTGTTGACACATTGGATTGTTCTTGCTATGTTGCCTGAGGCTGCTGGGGTTCACTTGAGGCTAGGATCTGGGAAACCAAAGACCAGGGAGCATCGCACATTCTGCGTGACAATGCTTAAAAGGTTTGGTGGGTATGCTATGTGCTTCAAAACAAGCTTGAAAACGTAAGGATATGTGTTATGTCTTATAATCATGGGATTTGGGAATCCAGCGCTTTGAAGATCTTTCAGGTTCTGCTACGAAGGAATCAACAGCGAGGACGGCGCAAAACTGAAGCATATGCGAGAGACGCAGAATCACAGAAGCTGGGAACTCGCAGCTTGGAGGTACGTCCGAAAGGTGGCGGGGGAGGTGACTGGGAAGTGATGCTGGTCGGCCGTACCCTCCTCTCCCTCCTCCTCCTCTCCACAATTACTCAATATGAAAATACTCTCCCTCTTCCCCTGATGGCGTCCGGGTGATGGCCGCGCACCCTCCGCGTACTGTTTTTTTACACACAGGATCCCGGGAAATCCCGGGAAACGACTCTCGCTGAGGCGCCGGCGTCATTTTTTCCCAAAATGCTGCTCTCGTTGAGGCGCCGGCCTCATTTCTGCTCCCGAATCGTTCCGAATCGTGCTCCCGCTGCAGCGTGGGCCTCATTTTCGGATCGGTGTTTGGCCTCCGTCGTTCAGGATGGCGTTCTCGCCCCAGCGCGGGCCTTTTCTCGCGCGCCCATCCGCCCGCCACCACCGCGCCGCACCACCACCACCACCACCACCACCACCACCACCACCACCACCACAAACCACCACCACCAGCACCAGCACCAGTACCCCACCACCACCCACCACCAGCACCACCACCACCCATCACCACCACCCACCACCACCACCCACCACCACCACCACCACCACCACCACCACCACCACCACCACCACCACCACGACAACCACGCACACACGCACGCACGCACGCACGTGCACCACCACCCACTACGCACGCGCGCGCGGAGCCACAGGTCCGCTACGACACGCGTCCGCGGATAGAGAAAATCAGCGCCATGGTAAGGGATGGGAGGGAGGGGTAGGACGTCAGATATGACGCGAGCGCACCTAGCTTGTCCTCCTCCCCCTCCCCCTCTCCCTCCTCCTCCTCCTCCTCCTCCTCATCCTCCTCCTCCTCCTCCTCCTCCTGCTCCTCCTCCTCCCCCTCCTCCCCCCCCCTCCGTGGTGAGGCGCCCTTCGCTTGGCACTACGGGGCACATGTTTGAGCCAATCGCTGGCGGGCGCATGGCAAGTGAAACGCAACGCTTGGGGACCTGTTTGGCTCTACTGTGTTGCGTCTCGTGTTGCTTCCACGCAGTGCTACGCACAGACTTGCACCATGCTTCAGGACGCAAGTTTCTAGGCTATGTAGGCGGTAATACGTTGTTGCGTCGCTTGATGCTTCTACATAATGCTACGCGCACTCTCGCTTCATGCTTCAGGCTACCCTCATCGTTGGGCAGAAGGGCTGTGCGAGAGTTAGATGAGCGGGGATAAGCTCCTTGTCCCCGTCCCGCCACGCAGGGGGGGAGCAATTCCATGGTCTTTGCGTCTCGTCTTGCTGTCGCTCACTTTGCACTCTCTTTTACTTCCCTCCTCTTCTCTCTCTTCTCGCCCCCCCTTCCCTCTCCTGCCCGCTTCCTCCTCCCTGCTTTCCTCTTATGAATATCCTGCCTCTTGCTTCCATGCCCGTTGCCCCATCATCCTTGACCATCCTGCTACCCAATTGATTGGCACCCGCCTGCGCCGCTTCAGATTGAGAGCCCGCTGGTCCCACTGCCGCTCTCGCTTCATATGTCGGGCCGCTCGTCCATCTCGAACTCGGCCATAAAAGATCGTGGCAGTGTAGACGCACTCGTGCTCCCCATCGAACCGGACAGAAATTCCATCAGGCACGGCCCGGTTCCGCCACCCGGAGCAAGCATGTCACGGCGCATCGTCTCCGTGACACTTGCCACGCTGCGTGTGTGGCTCGCCCGTGCGTCCGCCCATGGAATGCCGTGCAGGGCAGTTCCGTACTCCAACACGCGTGTGGCTCGCCCACGCTTCCGCCCACGGAGTGCCCTTCAGGGCCTCTCCGCAGGCCGTGCAACACTCACGCACGCGTGCGTGTGGCTCGCCCCGGGGTCCGCCCAAGGAGTGCCCTTCCAGGCCGCTCAATGCCCAAGCCACGATGCAGAGGCGATGGCGTGGCGCGATGGCCCGCACCACACTCGCACCCGCACCCTGCGCGACTTCACGCAGCCATACTCGTGGCACTGTTGTCTTGCAAACCCCAAGCTGGTGCCCGACTTTCTTGCGCACTCCCCCGTGCCATTCTCTCACCATTTCTTCTCGGTAGTGCGAACATCGGGAAACCCATTCTTGTGTCCTATCAACCTCTCGGCTCGCAGGCGCTGAGTTGAATGCATCCGTGCGCGCCTGCAATTCATTTCATCGCCCCCAACTTCGCGTGCATTCTCGCTTCGGTTTTCGGTGTCTGATTCGTGCCTAATGTTGCTGTTTCTAAATATTCCCCTATCAGCGCTTGCACTGAAGAGGTCCTAGCGTGGAAGGACTTGGCGAAAGTTCCGAGCCGATTTCGGTGGGCGGCCGGGATCCTGGGTTCCCAATTCCGGGTTCCCGGGTTCCCGGTTCCGGCTTCCGGGCCGATTTCGGTGGGCGGCGGGTTCCTGTTCGATCTTCGTATCGATCGGTCCCACCATTGATCTCATTACCCACCTGTCTATCGAACTCACTATCGATCTCATAATCGATCTCACTGTAGATCGCACGAGCGATTTGGCGATCGATCACACTATCGATCTCATGGAATCGGCTTCACTCTCGGTCTCACGATCGACCTTACAATCGTCCTCACTACTGCTTCCACGATCACACTTGATCTCAATTTCAATATCACTAATTTTCAAACCATCCACTGATTGGGGTTTTTGCTCTGGTGGGATATATTCCCCAATCCGTGGTTGCACTGAAGGGGTCTTAGCGGAGATTGAAGAATTTCGCGAAAATGCCAAGCCGATGGCGACCGATTTCCCGGGTGCGGTGCCCAGTTCCGGGTTCCTGGTTCCCGGCCGATGTCGGTGGGCGGCGGGGATTACGGGTTCCCGGGTTCCTGGTCGATCTTCTTATAGATCGGTCTCACAATCGATCTCATCACCCACCTCTGTATCGATCTCACAACCGATCTCACAATCGATCCCACTATCGATCTCACAAGCGATCTCACTATAGATCATCGCCCCCACTATCGATTTGACTACCGATCTCATTATCGGTCTCACAGTCGATCTCAATATCCATCATACTAATTTTCAAGCCATCCACTGATTGGGTTTTTCTCGGGTAGTATATATACATATACGTACAACTAGATATATACATAAACGTATATATATATATTAATGCATCGCTCTGCCGCTCTCTCTCTCTCTCTCATTGTCTCTCGCTCCCTCTCGTTTTGCTTCTCCCACTCCCACTTTTTCTCTCTCTCTCTCTCTATATATATATATATATCGCTCTCTCTCTCTCTCTATCGATACTTTTGCATGTCCCTCTCTCTCCTTCTCTCTCTCCCTGTCCCCCCTTGTCGCTGTATCCACCATCGCTGTCCTCTCCCCAACTGAAATCCCACCTGCCATTTCAGCCAAGTTTCTCGATGGAGACCTCCGCGCAGTCGCCCAACTTAGGACCCTTTCATTTCCATTGCTTGCCCGAGCACGCAGACCCCATCCCAAAGGGTCTCATTACTCTATACAAGTGTCGAACGAAGAGGGGGCTGCCTTCTCTGCCCCCTCGGACAGGGGCAGCACGCAAGCCCTTCTCGAATGGTGGCCGCCACTTCTATCCCAGGGGCATCAGGCACCTCCGAGGAATGGCGCGCTTCACGGCACCACCTCATACAGGGACCAGCCACCCTAAGGCTGTATTCCTCCTCCTCCTCCTCCTCCTCCCTCCTCCTCCCTCCTCCTCCTCCTCCTCCTCCTCCTCCTCCTCCTCCTGCCTCCTCCTCCTCTCCTCCTCCTCCTCCTCCCCTCCTCTCCCTCCTCCTCCTCCTCCTCCTCCTCCTCCTCCTCCTCCTCCTCCTCCCTCTCCCCTCCTTCTCGAACCCCCTCCCCCCTGCACCCCTCCCCCTCCTCCCTGTCCGGCCGACGACTCCGCCAAGAGACCGCTCCGTAGCCGCCGCCGCCGCCTGGGGGACGCCCGAGCCCGTGGCCGGGCGCGCTGCGGGCGGCGGCCTGCG